ACTTTGATGTTTTTGGTGGTAATTTCAAGCCGAATAAAATAATTAAGGACGTGAATAAATTGATATTCAGACCTTTGTATCATCTTTTATAATTATGTAGTTTGTAGAATTTGTTTATAATAAATAAAACAAAAAAAAACAAATATCTATCAATTTATATTGTAAAACATTTAATAGAAACTCACACCAGCAGTACAAAAGTAAAAATAAATTATTTTTAATATTTTCATATGATAAGCATAAATAAATATGTGATAATGTTTTGTGCACATTACAATTAACAATTATTTTTTTATTATAAATTCTTATGAAAGCTGGACTAGAAAACTTCAATAACTTATAAAAAATAATTGTCATATAACTGAGAAGCAGTTTACCTTTTGGGGTAAAACCTGTTTCTATTACGAAGAAAGCGATACAATTTCATAAATTTTTGGTAGAGCTTTTTTACGGTCATTAACGTCTGTTTTATCTTTATATCCAAATTTCTCCAAAATTCTTCTTGTTTCTTCAGATGACTTACTATATGCGACGAAAGGCTTTAACAGAAACTTACTGTGATTCATTTCTAGTTCAGTATCATTCGAACTTTGTCGACTCTGTTGACGTATCTGATCCGCAGGTTCTTTAAAGGGGTCCCTGTGGAAATTCTTAATATCTTGCAAGGGTTCATTAAAATATTCTTGGAATAAATTTGGATTTATGGCGCCCAGCATTGGTTCGTCATCGCCTTCAGCACTTCTCTTCGAACGAACATTAAATTCACGATTTGCGGCACGTTTCGAACTAACTGATGATTTTATTTTGTTCTCTTCATTACTACGCCTTGAATCGTTCAAGAGTTTGTGCAGATCTTCAAGTTTAATTCGTCCCATAAAAGGCTTCAGCAAATCTTTTCTAGTAACAAAAGAAGATTCCACAATAGGATCTTCTAGAACCTCTTCTGTGTTTTGGTAAATTTTGTTTTCCATCCTCTCATTCTCTTGCATCTTCAGTTGTACTTCGTTTGTTCTCACTTTACCTCTTCCTTTACTACAAGTGCAAGACTTCGAAGAAGACTCTGCACCAATAACGTTTTTCTCGCCTACAACATGAGGTCTTTCAAGCTCGTTTTTCAGTTTGATTACAAAATCGTGTAAATTGGTAGCATCGACAGTTTCTTCGGCTTCGTTCAAAACTTCTAAGGCGCCATCAACATGACTTCCTTTATTGTTGGCCAAAAGTAAATGTTTCTTTTGTAGTTGCGCTGGGGATCTCTGTACTAGATATTCCATCATATTTTCGTCTTCATCTTTTGTATGTGTGAGGCCAATTGAATCAAACAAGTTACTTGTGCTGACGAAGTCTTCGTTGTGTTTGTGAGAACTTCCAACAATATCGTTAACTCTAGATCCTTTAGGAGCTACGAGAAGAGCACGATCAGGTTGTACAGGAACGTAAGGTTTGCTTCCCGGCTTTTCAAGAGCAGGTACTTTGCTCAGTGGTAATAACAACCGTGGAACTGCGCCTTTGGTGGAATGTGCCAGTTTTCTTCCACTAGATATAGCATCATTAACGTGACTTAATGTTTGTTGACTTGACACGACAGTGTTTCTGATCATGTCGCCAATTTTCTGATAAGTTTTGTAAAAGGAGGTAGGATCCGAACTTGACAGTTTCTCGGGATCTTTCGATAAAAGTGTCTTTGATTTTTTTAGAGTCGTGTTTTTGAGCGGTTCCTTGCTTACGGTACCAGATTTTGATGTGGAAACAGCTGGTTGTTGATAAACCGCTGGATTGATACCACCAACAAAATTATTCTCACGATCTGTGTGCTCTGAATTTTTTGAAAGAGGTATTTTCACAATGTCGTGTTGATGAGTGTCAATTACTTTATATCTTGCGGGAATAATAACATCGCTGGGAATGAGTCTGGTAGAAGAGATAAATGTATCTCTCAAGGATCCCGTCATGTCCTTCAAGTGACTAACAGGCGACCTTTCGTCGTCAAGGGAACTTTTAATTAATTTCCCCATGTTGTCGGACGTTTGAAAGACGTCCAGTTTTGCGTTTGGATCTACTGCTAATTTTACCAATGGTAAAGAACGTTTTGGTCTTTCGTTGACTTTGACATTATCATCAGCAATTGCAGTCAATATCTTTGAGACCACTTCAAGTGGAAAAAGGGATCGTTTGTTCCTCTGAAATGACCTTTGATTGTGTCCTTCCTGACTGCTACTTCGATCAAAACTCACTCTACGACTATTTAACGGAAATTGGAAAATTGATGGGCTTCCCAAAGACTCTTCTCCTGCTTCGCGAAAACTCGATTGAGACACAGCATTATTTGCTCCTGAGACTTGTGCAATTTGGACATTACCACTTGTAGTTCCAAAACCGCCGACACCTCCATGACCAATATTTACAGCTGCTTGATGAGAAGAAAATCCACTAGATCCATGATTCAAACCGCTCGTAATGCCGGAACTTCCATGACCAACATTTACAGCCGTTTGATGAGATGAAAATCCACTAGATCCATGATTTAAAGCGCTCGTAATGCCGGAACTTCCATGACCAACATTTACAGCCGTTTGATGAGATGAAAATCCACTAGATCCATGATTTAAACCGCCCGTAATGCCGGAACTTCCATGACCAACATTTACAGCTGTTTCATGAGCGGAAAATCCACTAGATCCATGATTTAAACCGCTCGTAATACCAGAACTTCCATGAGCAACATTTACAGCCGTTTCATGAGAGGAAAATCCACTAGATCCATGATTTAAACCGCTCGTAATGCCGGAACTTCCATGACCAACATTTACAGCAGTTTGATGAGAAGAGAATCCACTAGACCCATGATTTAAACCACTCGTAAAACCACCATTGAGATGAGAGGTGAATCCCGTGGAATGTTGTTGAGGAATATTAATATTAGTTATATGCGTTTGTGGGATCGTAGAGGAGATTGGAACATTGGTAACCAAACCAGCATTGTGTACAAAACCTGCACCACTATGGAGTTGTGTTTGAGGTCTCAAAACGTTTAATCCGTGGGAATGGACATGTTGATGGAAATGGGAATGACCATGGGAATGGAGAGTTGGGTCTCTAGGTTCACTGCTTCGATAAATTTGAGATTTTGAATTAACATATTTTGGATTATTTTGCCAATTTTGCAAATTTCCTTTTATAGTTCCAAACCTGTCATAGGATTCAAGAGTTTTATAATTACATGGAGCATAAGGCGTTCCATAAGTTTGGTACGGCGAAGAATAATCGTCGATGTTCAAAATTATAGTAGGAATTACCTCGAAAGTGTGTTCGCCATATTCTCCTCTGTAACCATTTTCTTGTGAATATCGTGGAATACTTCGGACGTCAGCATCTTCATTATCTATAAATTTGATACATTAGTTATAGAACACACTAAATAACTCAAACCTCAATGCCAAATTACGGCACTTAACATCCAAAAATTCAGTTGATACTTTTTTAAGGAATGAAGACAACTCTACTTAAAGAAGTTACATTGCTACCGAAAGGTAGTTTGGATATTCAAAGTCGTACTTTGGTGATGGGGTTTGGGCTATTTAGTGCGTTCAGTAGTACCACCAATATTTCCATCAGTCTTATTGGTTCATTAGTTACATTTGTGTAGTCTTTGATTTAACAAGATTATGTTAAAATGAATCGTTTCCAAATGGACGTAGCTCATTTTAATTCGTATCAAGTTAATTCTTAATGTGACAAATCAGTAAACTGATGTTGACCTAATTCGAAGAGGAGTTGGAGTTGCTTTCTAACGTTTCGCTCGCACGGGTAGTGAACTTCTTCAGACGTCCTTCCATCCTTCGATGGAAACATTAGAAAGCAACTCAAACCGACAACGGCTTCTGGACCCGAGCCAGTAATACAAATGTGTACTAAAAATAGAAATGTGCTATATTTACCTCCTTCAATGCTGTTTTTGGATTCATCTTCATTTTCAACAGATCGTTTTACTAAACCATGAGGCCCCCAGTAAAATTGACTGTTTGGAACGTCAAGCCTGCCCTGGATCAATGAAGCTCTTTTCCACTCGTTTAGAGCATGAAGGACAATAGGTCTTATACCCCTAATGGACAGTGCGTCGTCTTTTTCATGCCATTTACGAAATATTCCAGAATTCGGATTGTCTTCATTTAAAGTTACATAATGATGTAAATTAAAAGCGCCTTGCGGAATTTCGTTACCGTTTACCCTTTTGATTCTAGTAATGTCCGGGTAAATGGCGAAAATGGCAATTGAAGTAAATAACAGATTCTTAAACAAACAAAAGAAGAATAGGTATCTATTTTGATGAACAAGAGATTTTACTAACAAAATTATTAAAGAACTGAAATAAATCATTATCTACAATAAAAGTTTCTAGTGAAATTGTAATTTTATAATATTAAGAAAATTATTGATGGTCATACCATAATAAAAAATATATCTATTCGAGATCTTACCATCTTTTTAATAAAAGGAAAACAAGTGTCAACAGAACAATTCACAGTAACATTGCACATGAAACTGCAATTTCTGTAACAATAACCTACCTTTATGCATATGTTGCAAACATATTTTGTTTATAAAACGCTTACATTGTAATTATTTACAAATTAAACATTTCCTAGTCTAGTTTGTTTGGCATATAGTTTGTGGTTCCTGTATTTGTTGTTTTATATGTCCCTAAATATGTTTTTATTATCATTTCAGTAGTTATATTTTTAAGACTTCAAAAAAATTACGTACTAATCATATAAAAAGTTTCAATCAATATTCAATTAAGCTAGTATAAGTAACATATATATTTTAAATATAAAGAGAGCAAAATTCAATTTTAAATGCATACTTTTATTTTATGTAGTTATACTACAAAGTAACCGATTTTACTACGGCAAAACAAGTGCGTACAAGTATCAACAAAATAAAATTAAAAAAAAGAATGAACAAGAAGGTGCACACACACAAGTCACAGCATAATAAAGGTGTAGAGGAAAATCTTTTAATTTTGGATACTGCATTATCTCAGTTTTTTGCTATTAGCATAAGATGATCCTATATGAAACGCCATTATGTGCCCATTTCTGACGAAGGATTTTTTTAAGATCACCAGAGATAAAAGCGAAAACAACCTCAAAAGAATGGCACTGATAAGCGCCATGAATAATAAAGGAGCGAAAACGTAAGAGTCCTCTGCGCTGTGAGAGACTGCGCATCAAGTTGAGCATTGTCAGTTGCGCACTCCCTTACAGCGCAGCGAACTGACGTTCTTACAGCTCGCATCCAACATTAGACGCCCTTACGTTGTTTTCACTGCCACCTCTAGCCTTCTGGAGTTTTGTCTTCACCTGTAGATAGTGTCGACTTTAGGAAGAGGGGCAAAGTTTCAAGCACTGTTTATGGACTCTGTATTTAGAGGCCTTACAGCCCCAGAGGAACTGTTTTTATGAAATTAAATTAAGAGTTCTGACAGGATTTTCAATTTAGGAACCTTCCTTTTAAATTTAGAAAAGTGTCACTTTTTAGGTCCTTCAAAGCATAGATAAATGTCTTCTTCCCTGTTATCATTAAATACGTATCATATTTACTCTATCAGAAAGACAATTATTAACAAAATGTTCTTATCAAACAAAAAAAAGAACTAAAAGAATGTCCAAAATTATGCGATTTTCCTTTACATAACATGACGTTATTATTTGCATAGAGCGGACATAGAAAATTTCATCCGGATTAGAACAGTCCATGATTTTTTCTATTACTACCATTACGTTTTTTGTATTCTCAAATACCAAAGTTTTATATGTCATGTACATATAATTATACAAATATACGTATGAGAGCAAACATACAAAAAAAAAGAAAATAATAAAANAATTATTTTAAATCAATAAAATTATTTGCAACCTTGTATTGGCTCTGATCTTTTCTCTGAAAAAATTATTTTGGTAACAGCGTCATGTCCTTTTTTCAAGGTAAAACGGGTACCAAAGGCAAATAAGGAACCAGATACAGGAATTGTTCGTTGGTGATCAGAGAAAACTAACATAAAGTCTTAAAAACTATATCTCAATCACTTCAAACAGAAAAATGAAATGAAAAAATGAACCTTACTGGTGGATATTTCTAGAAGCCGGTGATATTTTCAAGATGATACCAATTCAAAGTTAAACAAATACTCAACAATAAAAAACATATTTTATACCTGCGTGAATAAATTAAGAAAATTAAATAAGTAGGTACTATGAAAGGTAATACTTATTTAAAGAAAATATTTTAAAGATACGTATTTAGCATTTAGCCAAAAAATAGTTAGGAATTTCTTATTTTGCTTGAACTAGACGAAAATTTACAAAAAGTAAAATAATTATTACTTATAGGAATGTAGTAGACAATCATAATGTATTAATTACAAAAATAAATAAATGGGTAGATACAAAATCGATATCCTCAAAATCCTCATTTCAATTTTTGTCAAATCACGCACGATGATTTGCCATTGTTTAAAAGTTAATGTAATTTAACAACAGTTTAAAGAAAACACATAAGCTATTATATGCATATATGTATAATGGCATCTTCCTTTCCTAATAATTACAATAAGAATTAAAGAACGTGAGTTTTCATAACTTACATTCAAAATAAAGCAAATTTTAGCTATTGTATCTAATTGTTGTTATTGTAATACGTTTACAGATTAGGAAGGCCGCAAATAACATGCTATTGTTTACTAAACAATAAAAATAAATGTCGAGACTACTGAGGAGGTTTCAGGAACAGGGTTTTGTGTTTAGTGTCTTTACTGATGATTAAATTATTTCTAGTTAGACAATTTTAAACTTCCTAAAGTATTTGGCATAATTACGTAAAAATTTTTAAGTTTATCAATATAAAACGATCAATAACAAATTTTCACCAAATTTATTAAGTCGACAAAGAGAGTATGAAGATTACTAATATGATCTAAGCAATTTTTTAATCAATAATAAATATTTTCTGTTATTTTTGTGATGCAACATACAATGGGCAAAGCAGTATGTCAATTAAAAAACGAATTACAGAACACCCTATACAAATCTATAGTTATAAGTACACTAAAAACCAGAAAACTTGGAAATTAAGAAGGTCTTTCGTAATACTACAAATTTGATAAATAGTCAAACCACGTCCTTAATTACTTTTCATTATAAAAAATCCTTAAAATTACAGATTTAATACATAAATATTGAGAAAATCAGAAGAAATTTATTTGCAAAGCAAAGCGAGCTTAATTTTTGTCCCCTAATATCTGTTCTTTTACGACAAACAAATGAGTCAATAAATTTAATGAGTTCAATTTTTATTCCTTAAGTATGACATCCGTAGAAGAATATGGGATAGAT